CAGCTGCTTCATCTGTACCTCAAAGCTGGCCTCCTCCCCCAGTGGCCCTGAAGGACAGAGTCAAGGCTGCCTTCTCTCTTAAAAATCAAACACTCCATCCTTTAGAGGTTTCTGGGAAGGGTTGTCTGCTTGTTTTGTTTTGTATATTCCCATTTCTAACAGTTCGAAAGCAATACTCTTGAGGACATTATAAGTTGTATGAAATCCTCAAAATTCTTCTCCTCGTGACTGTCCTATTGCCCGGGCTTGCTCTCCATGGCTCCTATCTTGGCTCTGCTTCATTTCCAACCCAAGAGCCAGCTCTTCTCAACCTCCAGGCTGCCAGGTTTCAGAGAACCATGGGGACCATGCCACACCTACCTCCCCATGGCTTTCCTTAGACCACACCCTGGGGGAAGGAGCCAGGAAGGTGAATACAGGGAGTCAAAGGTGTCAGACCCCCTGAAAGGAAGTCCAGGACAGGCACAGAGTCCCATCACTCTGCCTTCCTATCTCACAGGGGGACACTCTGCCAGGAGGAGTCCAGGGATCAACCAATGTCCCTGGACGCCGATAACTCTGCTTCAAAAAGTAGGCATCCTCACTTCACTTTAAATGTGAAAATGGATTCATAATATTTGGCCATGCAATGTGAATGTTTCCTATAAGACACTGTTTCCTTATTTTATAGCCTGAAACTCATGAATAATGCATAATCAAATGCAATTAAATACCTCAGAAAATGCCATGCTCTGGCCAATCATGGAAGTACCCTATATGCACCACCTTGTGAGGGTGAAAATGTCCTTCAAGACTGAATCCTGGAAATAACGTGTTAGGAAACGAATAGCCAATTCAAAAAGAGACAGAGAAAACAGCCTCTAACAACAAAATAAGCACAAATTGACTAGAGCAGAGTCAAATTTCAGTTCTCAGTAGGTGAGGAAAGGTGATTTAGTCATAACAAGTTAGGAATATATATTTTATTTCCCAACCATGCACCAAAATTCACACTGCCCTAAGGTGTTGATGTTACTCTTAAATTAGAAAAATTAGTCTCACAAATACATTCTCATGGTTAAATCCAGCAACAGCAAAAAAGAACAGATCTTACCAATGGGGCATAAAATATGAATCTTACAAGATAAAACATGCTTTATGGGGCACATTTTGCTGTTCCCACATAACAGAGGAAAAAAATGTCCTCCCCCGACATGATTTATGCTGCTTTCACTGTTCCTGAACTTCTTAAGAGTATAGTATATAGTATTATATACAGTGTTTTCTACAGCCACAAGAGCTACAGGTCTGTTCTTTTTAATGAGTGTTTATTGACATTCATTTTATTTTACTAAAGAAAAACTACTGGCACTGCCCTAAAGAAAGCTGAAAATGAAGCACTTAACTCACTGAAACATCGCAACAATCCTACAACCCTACAGAGTCATCTCATTTCATAAGTGGGAGAACTGAGGCACAGATCAGCATGTGTCAGAGGGCCACGTGTAGTCAGCATGAACCAAGGCAGGCGACTCTAGGATCGCCACACCAGCCTCACAGAGCTGCCTGCCCACGCCCACAGCCTGCACGGGTGTACATGCCATGACTAATGTCTGTCAGCAACAAGCAAATTACTAAATTGTTTGTAGGTTGATGTGTTCTTAATTTAACTGTTTTAATTGGGGGTATTTCAGCACATCAAAGGAGGTTTTTAAAAATAGCTTTAGAGGAAAGAAATGAAGTTGGCAACATATGTTCAGAACAGATAATTTTGATAGATTAAAATTTACAGACCCAACAGAATGAAGAGACAACCTACTGAAAGGGGGAAAAAGTTTCCAGCTATTGCTCATACAGAGAACTAAATAAAGAACTCAAAGAAAAATTAGATTCCCAAAGTACGAGACCCAAACAAAAAATGGGCAACCAAAATGAATAGACACTTCACTTCTCAGAAGAAGTACAGGTGGCCAAAAATGTATGAAAAAGTGTTCAACATCTCTGGCCATTAGAGAAATGCAAATTAAAATGACACTGAGATACCATCTTACTCTAGAAAGAGTGGCCATCATCAAGAAATCAAATAATAATGAATGCTGGTGAGGTTGTAGGGGGAAAAGGAACCCTTCTACCTTGGTGGTAGGAATGTAAACCACACTACAGAGAGCAGTAGGGAGATTCCCCAAGAAACTAAAATTAGAAATTCCATTTGACCCAATATTCCCCTTTCAACATACTTTCTGAAAGAGTTAAAATCATATTACAGTGAAATCTATCACAAGTGTACAAGTCAATAGTTTCTGGTAGATTCTCAAAGTTGTCTGACCATCATAACAATCAATTTCAGAACATCTGCCTTTCACTCAGTCACTCCCCAGTTTCCTCCAAAACTTTCAGTCCTTGGTAGCCAGTAAGTTGCTTTCTCTCTATAGTTTTGGCTATCTGGACATTATCGCAAACATATATCCTTGGGACCATGTGAAATATGACCTTTTATGACTAGCTTTCATAGAACATGACACTCTCAAGCTTCCTCTATGCTGAAGCATGCATCTGTAAATTCGTTTTTGTTACTGAGTCATATCCCATCATATGTGTGTGATGTGTTAATCTATTCATCAGCTAATAGACCTTTGAGTTGCTTCCACTTTCTGGTTGTTACGAGCAATGCCGCCATGGGTGTTCATGAATGAAATTTTCTGTGCAGGTGTGTTTTCATTTCTCACTGATACACAACTAGGAGTGGAACTGCTGGGTTACATGGTAATTCCATGATAGAATTTTTGAAGAACTAGCAAACTATTTTTCCAAAGCAACTGAACCAGTTTAGATTTCCACTGGCAACGCACAAGTGTTCCGATTTCTTCACAGCCTTATCATACTTGCTATAACCTTTTTTATTACAGGCACCCAACTGAGCATAATGGTATCTCACTATGGTTTTCACGTGGACTTCCCCAATGGCCAGTGATGTTCAGCATCTTTTATATGCTGATTGGTTTTGAAGTATGTTCTTTGAAAAACTCTATGTAGATCCTTCTCCCATTTCTTAAAATTAGGTTCTTTGTAATGGCTAAATTGCCTCCTTCTTCTTTATATATAATTTCTTCACCTGGCTGCATTATGGTTTGGATCTTAATTGTCCCCACCTGATTGCCCCACTGGGAGCTGATGAACCCTTTAAGGGGTGGAGCCTAGTGGAAGGAAGTCAGTCACCCTTGAATGCACCCTTACCCCAGCTCCGGTCTCTCTCTCTCTCTCTCTTTCCTTCTATGTCTCCCCTCCCTCTCTCTTTCTCTCTCTCTCTCCCTCCCTCCTCTCTCTCTCCCCACCTCCCACTTACCACGAGGTGAGCAGCTTTGGTCCGACACATGCTCTAAGCCATCATCTTCTCCTTCACTACTGATCCAAAGTGACAAAGCCAAGTGATCACAGGCCACAATGAGCCAGAACACATCTCTCCCCCTTTCGGTTGATTATCTCAGGGATATTCTCCCACTGACACAGGGTGTTAGAATATCACACACTCTCAGTTGTCCGCCCCCCATTTGTCCTTCCATGCCAGTCTTTCACTTGTTCCTTCCCTTCTCCTTGACTTTCTGAAGTTGGACAGCCTCAGCATCCCACCCTTCCTGTCTTCTTTTTTACTTTCATCCAGTCTCATATTTTGTACCATATACATGCCTTCAACTCCCAAATGTCCACCACAGCAGGAGCCTCTGCTGGCCAACAGCTTCAGACAGTGGGTTGGGAAAGCATCCCCTGTCCCAATGGCCCGCTGTCTCCCACACCTTACCAGATATCACTGGCCCAGGAGAAGTCCATTGTGCCCCACAGGCAGTGCTAGTAGGACCTAAGCAGGAAACTCAGGTACCAGAAGAACAAAGTAGACCAGAATGATACTGAAGATCTCTGAAAACTAATTATGATTGAAATCACAGCCCACAAAAGCAGCCCAGCATCTACTCATCAAACCTACTACTATGGTAGTCTGGGTTCGGAGTCAGTATTTCCAGGCAAGAGAATGCTATAAAAATATCTTTACCACACCTGTGTTCATTGCTGTGCTATTCATAGTAGCCAAAAGTTGGAAGCAACTCGTGTCCATCAATAGATAAATGGATAAACAAAATGTGGTCTATACATAAAATGGAATGTTATTCAGCCTCAAAAAAGAAGGAAATTTCCAGCACAGGCTCAACATGGAAGAACTTCGAGGATATTATGCTAAGTAAAATGTCAGTCACAAAAAGACAACTATTGGATAATTCCACTTGTATGAAGTTCTTAGAGCCATCAACTCACAGGAAGTAGAATGGTAATTGCCAGAGTCGGGGCAGAAAGGGGAATGGGGATTCACTTACACAGAGTTTCAGCTTTGTAAGATGAAAAGACAGAATTCTAGAGGTGGGGATGGCTGCGAAATTATGTCCATGTATTTAATGCCACTGGACAGTAAACTTAAAAACTTGAAAACAATTAAAATGTATATATTTTCTGTTGTATATATTTTACCACAATTGAAGGAGGGGAAGGGATGGGAGAAGAAAGGAAGTAAAAAGAATTAAGATGTGTTCTGTAGATGAACCAACTTCCCATGATAAATGGAATCATTATGTACTGTAAACATGTGCTAATAAAATTTAAGTTGAAAAAAAAAAGATGAATCCCTGCAAATAGAACCATTTGTAACTTTTTTTTTTTTTTTGTACCGGGGATTGAACTTGGGTCCCTGCGTTTACAAGGTAGGTGATAGAACCACTGAGCTAAATCCCCTGCCCTGCAACTATTTTTATACTTATTCAATTGAGGAGTATGGAGATCTGCATTGTGACAGGCACTGTTCTGCCTATTTTAAGGTAGGCAGATATTAACATCAAAAAGTTGATGTTACAGGTTGGACAATAATTAGTAAATTAAAACAGGAGTTGTTTCTTACAAAAAATATTGTTAAATCAGAACCTACCTCAGAAACAATGACTTAAAGTAATGTGTCCACTCCCTTGGGAAGCAAAACTCACCTGACCCAGATCCAAGGTGAGGTTGACCTGTTCATACTTTGTGCCCATGGAGACAGGAGGGCTTTGCCACCAACGGCTGGTGCCATCAATTGCATTGGTGGCTGGATGTGCCTTCTCCGGGTTGCTGGAATTACAGATGTCACAGTACTCGTCCTGGGGAGGAGAAAAACAAGCCCTGTTAGAAATTTCCAAGTAACTTTTTCTTATCAATGTAGCATAAGTGGTAACCAAACAAAGACTACTTTATACAGTTTAGCCATGATGTCAGCTTTTGGAATTCATCAAAATGCCTCTGAGGACAGTGGTAAGGCTCCCTCTTTTTCATTTAATTTTAAAATCGCATCACCTCTTTATACCTCTGTGTTTCTGGAATAGAGATTTATTTCTGTTCTTGACAGCTCTGCTTTCCTTGTCCCATACCACACTTTCAGAGCCCACTGTACTGAGGGTGGAAAGAAGTTTGCACCACAACAAATCCATTCCACTGTTCACAGCTCTGTGTGAAGCACTGGGGTACAAAGAGGATCCCCGCCCACAGTCCCAGTGGAGGCCTGGGGGATACAAACACCCATCAGAAAAGGGAGTGTGTGGCAAGTGGCTCTGCAGAGTAGAGTCTGCTGCAGTCAAAGGCCATAGACATTCCAGGGCAGAGAAGACTGCAGTGAGAGCCAGGGAGCAGCAGGCAGGAAGCCATGAGCAACGTTTGCAAAGGCACAGAGGCCAGTGGGTCCAGCCCAAGTAGCAACAGACAAGTCTTGACAATTCGATGGGAGATGCTGCAAATACCAGAGTGAGAAGTCCAAAAAGCAGTTCAGCAGGCAGCGGGAATCAATTTTCACCTGGGGTGTGTCTGTTTGATATTACAATCCCAAGTCTTAGCTGAATTTACTCTTATTTGGTTAGCAGATTCTTTTGATTCTGGTTTGGTGTTTTTGCTTTTTGCAATGCACAATTTTATAGCCAGTTACATCTAAGAAGCTGAACCTGGGCCTTTCTCCTATGAGTATATTTTAATGGGGTCAAAGGCTCATGTTAGACTTCACAACCGAACTACTCTGCTTTCAAACTAAATCACCGTATGGGGTCGAAAATTCAGCTCAGTAGTTTCGCCACCTGCCTTACAAGAGCAAGGACCTGAGTTCGATCCCCAGTACCCCTCAAAAAAAAAAAATACTAAATCACCATGGAGCACAGCTACCACACAGAAGAAGGACAAAGCAGCACACTTATACTCACAGCCTCCGCAGAAATGTGCTATGGCCAGAGGCTACCTCGGCTCTTAGCCAGCCTCTTACATGTCAGATTTTAGATTCTCAAAGATACATTTGATCCTGATAGATGACTGTGGGAGCCCGCTGGCATTTGACATTGGAAAAGTAACTTCTTCTACCATTGAGGCATTGACACAATCTATGACTCTATTTGGCTTTTCTGAGATGAGGGTCTCAGCTATACAGATGAGATTGACCTGGAGCTCACTGTGTAATCCAGGCTGGGTTTATGGGATTATCCAGGCTGGGTTTATGGGATTACCGGTGTTGACCTGGAGCTCACTGTAATCCAGACTAGTTTTATGGGATTACGGGCGTGCACCACCACGCCCGGCTCAAGGACTTTGTTAAGTTTGACCTTTGATCTCCTCCCTAATATTGCTTGATGCTTCCTGTTGGCCTGCCTTTAAAAGGAGCTGTTTCTGTGTAATAAATGGGACCTCTTGTCTCCACACTATTGAGTGTGCTGTCCTTTCTCAACCCTCACTCCCCAACTCAGGTACGTTCGTGTTGTGACGGCTGGACCGCCACAGATGACCAAATGTGAGACCAAATGTTTGCTTTTAGCATGTGACTGGTGGCTCTTCACCAAGTAGTGAGGTATTTGTGTAGACCCTCAGCATCTGATACTGTCTGAAGACACTGCTAAGACTCAGAAGCAGCATGTCAGGGGTATGCAGCCCAACAATTCGTGATGTTAGAGATTGGGGCAGCCTGCTCTCCACACTATCCCTCCAGCCCAGAACACTGCACAGAAGTTCAACGCCTAGGAGAAGCTCAGCAAAGGAGCAACTGATCCGATGGGCAACTTTTTTAAAAAACATGGAAGTCTTTCTATGAAATTTATTATTTTAATAAGGTGCTTAAGCAATAGTTTTTAAAGGTAGGACATCTAAACATTTTTTTAATTTGGGGTTTTTTTTTTTTAGACAGGGTCTCACTATGTAGTTGAGACTGACCTGAAACTCACTGTAGCCCAGGCTGGTCTGGGATTACAGGCATGCACCACCACACCCAGCTAAACATTTATTTTTAGTATTGAAGCAGAATTTAAAGAAAAAAAAGTCCTTCCCAGCCTTGGGTAGATCCCTCCCCATCACCCGCCTCTCCTCTCCCCTGTAGCTGTTAATGTCTTGTTCTGATACACAGAAAACAACCACGTCCCAGACACAAAGCTTACAACACTGTTCTCATATGGTTTGTAAGACACTTTCTCCTATCAAGGCAAATTTATAAAACTGTCTGCCCTTGTCCTGTTCCAATAAACTCACTCCTAGTCTCTGGAAAAACCATGCCCTTTGATAAAATGTATAAAAGCTGGAACCTTTCTTTGTTCAACACTCAGCCATTTCAGACACAGTCTGTCAAGCCACTGTATACCTAAAACCTGAAATCAATCTCCCTGACTCCCATTTGCTCTCTCTTGTCCCTTGGAATTCTGCAACAGTATTTTCCCTCCAACGAGGTTTCACTTTTACTACTTCCTTCTTATAGACCATCTTACCAGTTTAATTATTTGATGAGAGAATTAAGCTCTTATTTCTCAGTTTAGATTTATATTTGGTTAAAGGCAACTTTCTTCCAAAAAATGTTGAAGAATATGATTTATATTTATCTTCCCAGAGTAGAATATGATGCTTTTTGTGTAGTTCTAGTGATTCTTAATTCCAGCATCATAACAGTGATTGAAATAAACATTTGTAGAGCACCTGTTTTACACTGGGCACTACACACTTCAGATTTTCATACTAAGAATATTCTTATCACCTCTATTTCACAGCTGAGGAAATAGGGTGGAGAGGTTAAGTACTTTTCTCAAGAACCATACACTGGTAAATTGTAGAACCAGGACCTGACTGTAGTACCCCAGGAATAACAAGCTAACCACCACCCTGTATCTCTCCTCCCCCATCTAGAAGCTACAACTCCAGTTTTTTAGACATCTCCAGATATTCAATTTCATGTAGCATTTCCTATAATTATTTTTATACAGTAGCCTTCACAATAGCATAAAAACTGTATCCCCAAGGCTTGTTACATTTAGAATCACCTTGTCATTTCCTTTTGCTGTGGTGTGAATGTTCCCACTAAAATTCATGTTGATCTGGGACTGCTGTTATAAGATGTGGGAACTTTAAGAGGCAACCTTGTAAAGGAATTAATGCTGTAATCTGGGGAATTGTTTACTTATCAAGGGATTAGGTTCCTGGTGAAAAGGCTGTGCTTGGCCTGATTTTTCTCTGTCTTGTGTGTGTTCAGTTGCCTTTTTGCCATGTTACAACAAAACAGAGATGTCCTCATCACAGGCCAGTACCATGCTCTTGGACATCCCAGCCTCCAGAACTATAAGTAAAATACACTTCAGCTCCCCAACATGAGCAAGGACATGAGCAGGGAGACCTGCGGCACCTCTTCCCTACACCAGGCACCAGGCCTGCAGCACCCTTCCCCCAACGTGATCAAGGACAGGTACAGGCAGAACCACACTGGACCCACAGTGCTCCTTCTCTGGACCAGCGGTGCCCCATCCCCAAAACCAGCACACACGACACCATCACTGCTCCCCACACAAGGGTGAGACCATCCACCAACTCCACATCAGCTCTACATTCTGCTCCTCCTTGGCATGGGGCAGCAGAGGTGAGGACTGACCAAATGACCTGATCTTGGAAGACAACAATGTCTGTGGAGGGAAGGAAGCAAAATCAGACCCTGTGACCATCAACATTAAGTCCAACAGTTCACTTGAGCCCCAGCCCCCATGGCTTACATTCAGCAGACATCAGAGGGCTGATGGAATTTCCCACCTATGAATGGGAGCAAAGATATGCGTGGGCTTGGACAGTAACCACAGTTTAAAGTGAATGGACAGAGGGGCCTCAGGTGCAGGGGGCAACTCAAAAACCCACAGGCCATAGAGCTAGGTGGACAAAGTCACGGCTATCTGGATCACAAAATAGCAGATCTTGGGAAAAACTGCTCATGCCAAAACAGAATTCTTGACTCAAACTTTTTAAAAAGTTTTTCTATTTTTTTCTTATTTTCAGATTTTCTGGGAGGTTGGGGTATTTTTCTTTCTACCCGTTTCTCCTCTTTTAGTTTTTTGTCCCACCTTTGATCTTTTCACCTTTCCATTTTTTTCGTCTTTCGACATACCACTAACCTCACTGTGCTTCAGGTCCCTCATCTATAAAGTGAGCATCCCAATAATACCTTTTTAATAAATTCATAAATGGTAATGATTAAGAAACCTGTGTGTGTAAAGTGCTTTGGGACAGTGCCAACTACCAATAAGTGCTGTATATGTTGTTTGTGTTAAATGAATATCCTATGTGAAGCAGGACAGCAAGGCCCCTGGTCACTAGGCTGGTTCCCCTCACTCCCATGATCTTGCTCCTTTATTTCATGTCATTTCTGCACAGTCTAAGCAGTGTAAGATGCAGCTTCAAAGTAACTGTTCTTTCCCCAACTTGTACAGTGAAAATGTGCACAATAACTTAATTCCCATACTTCTGTCCAGCCAATATTCATTTATTACTTCCACATGTAGGTTCTAACCATCTAGGGTGGGAAAACCACTGAGGAAATCCAGTGTTTGTGTCACTGAGAAACTGGAATTCAACTAGCTGGCTTTCCCCAGGGCAGTTTCCACCATGTAGCATGAGGGATCTAATCGGTAGCTCTTTCTTGCAAAGCAGAAAAGGGCTCCTGCCTCCAAGCTCTGAGTTGTAGCCCCCACACATACACATCCTTGGCTGGGAGTTCATGCACACAGCACAACCTACGGCAGACAACATTAATAAATCTTTCCTCACTAAGCATGTGGATCTGGTGTGTTGAGCAAGTTAACTCAGCTTCCTTAAATGCCTAAATCACAACCAG